TCTGTTGAATAAGAAATATCTGGGATGATTGCGCGGCTTGCAACGGAGCTGTTTCAATTAATGGGCGTTTGAAGTGGTAGAGCCCTACCTGCAGACTGAAGAACAGCAGCTTCGATTCCGGCATATTATGTACCTGGTTGCGGGCACCATCCCCAGTAGGAGATGTGCAGGAAGGCAAGCTGATCGAAGTTCTCTCTCCATCGATGTTTTCTAGCTCTCTATCTCTCTCCCTTCCCTCTCTGTAAAAAATCCATGAAATATATTTAAAAAAAAAAAAAAATAACACAGTTTTAACCCGCCAGTCCCTGCCAGTCTGTACGCTCTTCCAGGAGCAGCCTGTCTCCATCTGTAGTCCCAGAACCTAGACTACCAGGGCACCCAGCACACGTGACAGACTCGAGAAATGTTTGAATGAAACACCAAATAACCCCTCACCTGAACCTAAAAATAGACGGAAGTAAAGATCAGGTACTTCCTCCTCCACTCTGTCTGGCTCTCTCCCAACCCACCCCTGCCCTGAGCTACCTCCTAATCCCACCTGATGAAGGGCACTGTAGCAGCTGCCGAGGAGCGGAGAGGGGCTCTTGAGAGCCGCTTCTCTCCTGTCTGCAGCCACAGGAAGCAGTCCGGCTCACTGGGTAAGAGCTTGGACCCTGGAGGGAGAGCTCAAGCCGGTGTGGCTCACTGGTTGCATGTTGGCCCATGAACCAAGAGGTCACTGGTTCGATTCCTGGTCAGGACACGTGCCCAGGTTTCAAGCACCATCCCCAGTGTGGGGCATGCAGGAGGCAGATGTTTCTATCCCTCTCCCTTCCTCTCTCTCTAAAATCAATAAAAACATATATTTTTTAAAATGCTTTAAAGAAATATCAGATTTAGCCCTAGCTGGTTTGGCTCGGTGGATGCAGCGTCGGCTTGTGGACTGAAGGGTCCCAGGTTCAATTCTGGTCAAGGGCACATGCCCTGGTTGTGGGCTCAATCCCCAGTGGGACACATGCAAGAGGCAGTCAATCAATGATTCTCTTTCATCATTGATGTTTCTATCTCTCTCTCTCCCTTCCTCTCTAAAATCAATAAAAATATATTTAAAAATTAAAAGAAAATATCAGATTTAAAACTTTTTAAATGTTAAGATCTGCTTTAAAGCAAGAAACAGTATATAATTACTATATTCAAAGGGCTATCCTGGAGGCTTACTTGCCATGAACCCAGCGGACCGGGAAATCAGTAGTTCAAGTCCATAAATGCTTTCCTCACAGTTAGAGCTAGCGTTGCTGGGTCTTTCAGTGCCAGTCCTCTGATGAGGCCCTCACATACATACTTCATTCATTCATTTACTCATCCCACAGACACTGATTACCACTTCCCCGCCCTCCCCCCACGCCAGGCACTGAGCAGCACAAAGACCTGCCTCGTGCAGTACATTCCAATGAGCAGGCATTTGGCTTAGATTTTTAAAAGTAGCAAATAAATAACGTCAAGTGGTGGTGAATGCAATGCAAGCACAACAAGCAGCAGAGGAAGGGGAGGCGGGTGTGCCTGGGGTAAGAGGTGCTATTTTATCCAGAACGCTCAGGGGAAACGCGCTCTGCTGGAGGGACATCTCAGTAGAGACTTTAGGAAGTGAGTGAGCCAGCCATGTGACTACCTGGGGAGAAAGGATTGGGGTGGGGCGGGGAGGCGGGGGGGGGGGGGGGGGGTGCCAAGGTCCTGAGGCTAGAACGTGCCGGCACATTGGAGGAGCCCCTGGCAGGCCAGTGTAGCTCAGGGTAGTGAGTGAAGGTGGAAGTGATGGGAGGGGAGGGGAGAAGGCAGCAAAGCAGCCAGACTCTAGGCCAGGGGTGGGCAAACTTTTTGACTCGAGGGCCACAATGGGTTCTTAAACTGGACCGGAGGGCCGGAACAAAAGCATGCATGGAGTGTGTGTGTGAACTAATATAAATTCAAAGTAAACATCATTACATAAAAGGGTACGGTCTTTTTTTTTTTTAGTTTTATTCATTTCAAACGGGCGGATCCGGCCCGCGGGCCGTAGTTTGCCCACGGCTGCTCTAGGCCTTCTGGGCGGTTTTAAGGGCTGGGCTTTTACTCTGGGTTTAATCCAAGTCACTGAAGGGCCGGGCAGAAGGTGCACTGGATCTCAAGGGGCCACTGCGGTGGTTATGTCAGAAAAGGGAGCACCAAATAGGAGGTTTTTGTATAAATCCATGTCCAAGGGGTTTGTCCTAAACAAGAAGGAAAATGGTGACACATTTATAGAGGGGAGGAGGCTGGGACAGGGTGGGACGTGATTTTTATTTGGGAAATATGAAATTGTCAACACCTTTTACCTTTCTAACTGAGACTATGTAAGTCTAGAGTTTGAAGACATGGACTAGAGATGCAACACAGCATTTAAGATACGTCAGTGTAGAAGGCATTTAATCCTTGGTCGTGGCCATGGATTGAGAAAAGAGGTCCAGGAAACGACCCTGGCCCCTACCCTTCGGAGGGGGGAAGACTGAAGACAAAACCACGGAGAATGACCAGCAACAGTCAGGAAGGCGGAGAAAGAACCATGAGAGGGCGCCTCCCGGACACCCAGGGAGAAGGCGAGGGTCCCAGTGTCACATGCTGCCAACAGGCAGACTAAGGTGGGGACTCAGGGTTGACCCTGCCCCTGACCGCGGGGATGTCACGGTGACCTTGAGAAGGGGGCTCTGGAGGAATGGGGGGAAAGAAAGCCTGCAGGGAGGGGCCCCCGGAGGAGGAGAGGAGAGAAAGCCGAGGGCACTGTGTCAGGGCCCCAAAGATGTCTGTCCTCACCCCAGCGCCTGTGCATAGGCAGGTCACACAGACAATGGCAACAAGTGTGAACGAATCAGGTTGCTGACAGGGCGGTTTTCTGGATTGTGTAGGTGGGCCCAATGCAATCACAGGATCCTTATAGGGCGGAGCATTGGCAGGGAGCACCGGAGAGAAGGCAGCGCCAGAAAGACCAGGCTGCCAGCTGCTGGCCCTGAGCCCAGGCTGCAGCAGCCTCTGGGGAGGGAAAGGCCGGAGCTGACCTCCCCAAGGCCTCGGGAGGAATGCAGAACGCGGACACCTTGATTTCAGCCCCGGGAAATCCCCTCTGGACTTGTGAACTGAAGAACAGTGAGATAACAAATGCGTGTTGTTTCCAGTCACTGAGTGTGTGTGGATTTGTGGTAATTTGATAAGCAGCAATATATTGACATGTACCCATCTCTTCCAGGAATGTCACTGTAAGGGAGGCATCAAAGTAATATTTTTCAGTCGTTACAATCTGCAATGTCAATACTGTGGTCTGCGTGTTAATAAGGAGACTTAGATTTAAATAAATAACTCGCCCAGGACACACCGCTCCTAAGTGACGGCAGAGGGCCTCACTCAGGGCTGTTGGGTTCCCCAGCCACAGTGCAGTTTCCGTCACAGTGCAGCTCACCCCCGGATCCTGAGTTGGGCAGCCATGCCACACAGGCGGCCACCGGAGTTGGGGGTGAGAAGGCCCTATACAGCCCCCACCCACCAGAGGGACCAGCTTTTCTATTGCATATACTGGGCATTTATGCACAATCACGTTTGAGGGGTTTCACTGATTAAACTCGCACGTGCACAGACATACACCTGGAACAGCCCTGCGCACACGCTGCTGTCCTGCTCCTGTGGGAGGTGCGGGCTTCTCCTAATGAGCTGTGATCAGGGTGACGAGTGGGCGGAGCTCCATCTCCTCAGTCCCGGCCCCAGCGACCCTTGAGGACCAGGCGGAGCCCAGCCCTCTGGGCAGGGCAGGGAGATAGGCATCAGTGTGGGTAACAGCCCTGCCTCAGAGACCAGGGCCGCTTAGCCTCCGGCCTAAAAATAATCAACAGAGAGCCTCGATAAACATGCTTCTCCAAGACCAAGGACTGCCAAACTCCCTCTATAAAGGGTCAGGGATATTTGTGTCAGTATTTGTGGTTTGTGGGCCACATGGTCTCGGCAGCAACTAGTCTACCCTGCGGGGTGACGTGAACGCAGTCCTGGACTGGACCTAAGGAATGAGTGTGGCTGGGACCCAAAGAACTTTATTTATGAAAACAGGCTTCAGGCCATATGCTGACCCATGGGCCACAGTTTGCTGACTGCTGATCAAGAGCATAAGAAGTGACAGGTACCTTTATTGTTGTGTTTATTGAAGTCTCCTGCAATACAGGCGCCCATCCTAAAAAGGGAGGTTGTTCCCCCAGTTATTGGCAGGCAGGCAAAGATTTTAAAATCAAGAAGGGGCCACAAGGCACTGAGTAAGAACTGAACACTAATTATAACTTCAACATACCAGACATTTAAAAACACAGTAACTATATACAAGTATACCAGGTAGGCAGAATCCCTGGAATGGTCTGAATGAACTATTATCTTACTGACACAGAAAGAAATTAAATCTATGTTTTGTAGGAAAAGGTACAAAGCTTAACGATGGAGCTGTCTTATCCTCTAAGACTGCTTCTCACCCCCACCTGCTGGGGTTGGCGGCCACGACCCCGTCCAGCTAACTCAGCGGTTCTCAACCTGTGGGTCGCGACCCCTCTATCGGTCGGACGACCCTTTCACAGGGGTCGCCTAAGACCATCCTGCATATCAGATATTTACATTACGATTCATAACAGTAGCAACATTACAGTTATGAAGTAGCAACGAAAACAATTTTATGGTTGGGTCCCAACATGAGGAACTGTATTTAAAGGGCCAGAAGGTTGAGAACCACTGAGCTAACTGCTCACAGACAGGCTTTCTCAGCAGCACGATGCCAAGGAGCCAGGGCAGGATCAAGCCGCCTGGCCTCCTCCAAGGGCCCGGCCATCGTGATTACTGCTCTTCTGGCAGCCACATGCAGGGGGAGGGGGAGAGTGCAGAGTCGGCTCAGTCAGGAGGAGCATGGGCCACTCTGGAATGTTACCAGTAGGAAAACGGGGGTCCCTGCCTGGGCTCTGCCTCAGCCGCCTACACCCAGTGCCAACGCCCCCCGGCCCCCCCGAGACCCGGCACAGCTGCCCAAGACCAACCTTCCACGTTTACTCGAGAGAAGTCAGAGGACAGCAAATTCATGATTCATTCCTGCTGGACGTGGATTGTATGTGGAGATTGCATAAGGTCACTTGGGAAATGAACTTAGCGCCTCCTTGGCTCACTTCTACCAGTTACCAGGTGCCTTTGGAAGCTGCAGTGCTGGGGGGATGAGCCGCCTGCCCCGAAACCCTGGGACACACTCCCATGGGACCGCGAGGGGATCACGGAGCCTCAGACCTGAACCTGTCTCGGGAGGGGCGCCCACAGCGCAAGGCCCGTACCTTCAACGTGAACTCGTGTGCCGGCCTCCCGAGCCCGTCCTCCGCCTCCACGCTATACTCGCGCGCCAGGGGCACCGTGGGGCGGTAGAGGCGCCAGTGTTTCTGCCCCTCCAGCTGCAGGATGAACACCTGGGGAGGGAGAGCCACAGGCCGAGGTCAGAGCTGCCTCACAGGCGGCTGCTCCCGAGGGAGCCTCCAAGGGCTCAGATGGATCACCCGTTTCAGATAAAAAATAAAAATGAAGATCAGACACATTTCACTCCGCATGTTATAAGAGCCGCCACTACTGGCTTTAACCTTTAAGAGGGATATCATTCTTCTCACTTTCGTGAGGCCTCGCCGAGTTCTCTACATCCCACTACAGACCACGATCTCATTCCTTCAAATCTCCGACCCGACAGCTTAAAGCCCATGATCTCTCGCGGCAAAGCCGAGCTTCGGAGATGACCGGATGTCCAAGATCCTGAATATAATCTCTGGCAGGTAGAAAAGCTTTAAGGTTTTTGTTCTTCATTCAGCCAAAGATATCTCAATACTCTGTTAAAAACGTATTTTAAAGAACCAAGACCTTTTGGAAAATGCATTGATATCAAACTGCTCTTAAAGGGAGAAAAAAATGACTTGTTACTAATTGCTCTGTGTTCACACCTTGTATTGGTACAAAAATAAAACTACAAAAGACCTAAGCCAAAACGCTAACTGTTTCTGGCAGCTCCCGGGGAGTGAAATCAACGCTTGTCAAGGTGCCAGTGCTTCAGGGAAACCATGACCTTCACTCCAGCTGCCCCTAGGTTTTCACAAACGGAAAAATGTATGTATTTCTGGCAGCTACAGAAAAAGGGCAAAATGAAAGCAGATGTAGGTCTGCTCTGTGGCTTCACCTTATTAAGGACCGTACACTGCGAAGTGAGAAAGCCAATCACACTTTTCTGTAGATAAACCCAACAGAAGGTGCGGCCCTCGTATCAGTCGGCCGGAAACGACCCGTGCCCTCGGGGAAGGAGCAGGAAGGAAACCGTTGGGTGGACGTGGTTTTGGCCCAACATCCAGGTGGGGTCAAGGTCTCCAGAGACGGCACAGGAAGAGTGGACAGAGACCTGGCCCAAGAGGTGGCCTGAACCCTGACCCCCATCCTGACCCGACTCTCAGCAACTCCTCCCTCCCCGGCCCCACAGCGCTCTCCCGCTCTCACCTCGACGTCATCATAATGGGGCGGCAGGCCCTGCGAGCCGGCGGGGGTTATGTACACATTCGAGCCAACCAAGGAGCCAAAGTAGCATTCCAGCTGCTCCTGGATCCTCCAAAGTTCATCCTTCAACGGAGGAGGGAAGGGGAGGGGAAAGTCCATTAACAGTAAGACGGGGCGCGTGTTCTCATTTGCTTACAGTCTGTACTGAGCTATTAACTCCCAGATACCGAGAATTAAGAAGCGTGAAAGAGCCGACACCTCTGGCCTCGAGAATTTTCTGCGCTAGGACTGACCCCACAGAAAAGACTGGAGCACAAAACCGAGGCTGGCAGGCGGGCGGTCTGGAACCGGGCAGGCCTTTAAGCAGGGAGATGACAGGATCCAATTTACATTTTTGCTGTATTTATTTATTTTTATCTTTGTTGTTGAAAGTATTACAAATGTCCCTTCCCCTCCAATGACTCCCTCCACTCCACTCCCGCAGTTAACACCCCCCTCTCCCCCCCACAACCCCCCCATCCCTGCAGGCCTTCACCACACTATTGTCTGTGTCCATGGGTTATGCATGTGTGCATATAAGTTCTTTTCTTAATCTCTCCCTTCCCCCCGCCCCTTCTCTCTGAGTTTAGTCAGTCTGTTGCTTGCCTCCATGTCTTAAAAGCTCACTCTGGCTACTGTGTGGAGAATGGACTGTCGAAAGCAAGAGAGATCAGTGGGGAAGCTACAAAGGCAGCAGTGAGGCGAGGAACGAGCAGGTGGAGGGAAGGGAGAGGGAGTAGAAAGGTCAAGATGCACTTGGAAGTAGCACTGCCGGGACCTGCTGATGGACAAATACTCCCGGGCTTTTGCCTTGGACAGTGAGTTAGCTCCCAGCTCCATCCACTGAAATGGGGAAGACTTGCTAAAGAACAGCTTTTCGAAGGAGGAAAAGGAGTTCTCTCCTAGAAATATGGAGCTTGAGCTGCTAGAACGCCCGTGTGGCGACGTCTTTAAGTGAGCTTCTGGCTGTCTCCGTCTCAAGTTCCGGCAAGAAGTAAGGACAAGAGACTTACATTTGGGAATTCCCCGCACAAAACTGATATGTAACGGGATGGGAGGAGAAATGACAACCTAGAAAATGGGTACAGATGGAGAAGGGCGAAAGGGGCCGAGTACATGCCCTCTCTCCAGGCACTAACCCCCTCTTCAGGGAATAAGCCAGACTGAGGGGCCAGAGGGGAGCCACATATCCCTGCAAGAGAGAAAGAAACCAGGCTTTCCCACAGCAGCTGTGGAGCGGGCGGGGCACTGAGGCCACATGGACATCTGCACGGCTCTGCAGCCTCTACCTAGGCAGATGCAGGCCGTAAGGGAGGAACTTCAAGGAGGACACGACCACCGTGATGCTACTCTGCATGCCTTCAATTACAAGAAAAGGGCAAGCCCAACAGAAATGTCTGCCTTACACCGAGACAAAAGCCAGCCCACAGAACTTTTAACACTAGCGACATAATTTAGGTTTTGCAGCTCTATGACACCCAACCATGTCCACCCTGCATGTTAGACATTTTCTAACAATTCAGTCAAAAGAGAACCCAGAATCTCCTCATTTGAGATGCATTTGAAGACCAAACAGGCGCTCCCCCTTCTCAAGCTGGCAGGAGGCAAATCACCACCAGACCACAGGTTCGCCCCTGAGCTGGTCTGTGGCCACATGTTAACCCTTTAAACACACGAGGATTCTGCGGGGGGAGAACCTGTTACCTTAAATCTCTGAGGCTGGTGAAACTGAATTGTTGCCCTTTTCTGATCAAAATCTTTTCTCAGCTGGAGGAAGTGCACTTTGCCATCTTTATTTAAAACCTTCTTCTTCCCATGGACACAGCGGCAGACATTGACGTCCCGTCCGTAGTACATACCCCGGCCGCACAGACTCTTCAGGTCTGAGAGCCTGAACAGGGACTGGTAATACGCGGCCAGCGCAGGGTCCTCTCTCTGAATGAGCAGGGGCTTCTGCTCCCAGAATTCCTTGAAAAAAGTCTCCGTCTGGATGGGCGAGATTAAACTTTCAAAGAAGCCACTGGGGCTGTCGAAGTTTAAAGTGAAGGGCCCCCCGGCCGCCTCCACCTTCGGCTGTTTGCAGGGAGCAGGCCCCTCTTCCTGCCCAGTCCCCGCAGGCTTTGCTTTCTTTGGCATCGTTCCGTCTTCCAGACGAAGCTGTGAGGGGAGGCAAACCTACCAAAAGAACAAAGAGCATGTGTTGGTGTTCGCAGCCAGGCACGGCCATGAGCCTCAGGAGACCCTGTGAGTCCAGGCCTTCTCCTCAGGGGCAGCCTGAAGCCCACACACCATTCCTCCCGGCCAGGATTCAAACTGCGGATCCCACATTCCTCTGAGGACAGCACGCTGTCCGTGCACACAGCACTATGTTGTGGAATCCTAGTTTATCAGGAAGTATAATTATCCCGACTTAAATGATTCGACTGTCTCAGCAACTCCCCGTCACAGTTCAGCCTGTGGCCACTGACACAACAAAATCGAAAATCTTTTTAATTTGGCTTCAATCAGCACCAGGTCCCAAATCTAATGAGATGTACTTTGAGTTACAGACACTTGACTGGAGAGCCACCAACAGCGCCCACTCCAGGCGCTCCTAACCACAGCGCCACCCCATCTGCCGGCCAGGACGCCCACTGCCACGTCCCGGGTGTGGTGTCAGCTGGTGGCCGGAGCAAGAAGCAGCCTGCCAGCCTGCTCCCAAGTCCACGTGAAACTCCCACTTCCAAATCTCAGCTTATGCCTGAAAAGTGTCACTTTATCAGAAACCTCTCTCCCATTAAAAAAAAAAAAAAACTAATTAGAAGCTGAAAAGTGAAGGCTAAAGGTAGTTATATCCCAAGTCTTTAAAAAGCTGGAAGTTAAACATAACAGCATACCCACATCACAAACCTCTACCACAGCACTGCTCCATCTCGGATGTGCACATCCCCTGGGCGTTAGGCCTGATGGACGGAGGGCTGAGGTTCTCTCACAGCAGCCAGGCAGGGGTGCTGCTGGCCCACAGACCACACTGCAGGAGCAGGAGCAGGAGCAGCAACACTCCCAAGCACTGCCAAACCTCTCAGAACTGCCCCCAAACCACAACTATGGTTATCAAGCAGGTGGCCTTCGTCTGGGGTTCAAGAATGGTAATTCAAATTATATAAATTTCCTGAAACTGCAAATATCTATTTAAACTTTTATTTTTTCTAGGAGGCGGTGGTGGGTCCATTGCTTTCACCGGATTCTTAAAGGAGTCTCTGTCCCCAAAAAAGGTTATAAAAATCTGCACTTATTGCCCTAGCCGGTGTTTCTCAGTAGTTAGAGCGGCTGCCTGCTCACCAAAGGGTCAAAGGTTCGATTCCTGGGCGCGTGCTTGGTTGTAGGTTCGATCCCTGGCCCGACTTGGAGCATGTGCAGGAGGCAACTAATTGATGTCTCTCTCTCTCTTCCCTCCCTCCCAAAAAAAAAAAAAAAAAAAAAAAAAAAATCAATGGAAAAAATATCCTTGGATGAGGATTAACAAAAAATAAATTTTAAACATCTGCACTTATTAAAACCAATTTTTCCCAGAGACCAGTAACTTATTATTAGATGTTATGGCTTCCTATTTTGTTGGGCTATCCGAATTGCAAGAACACTGTTTTCTGCTCCTCTGTCATTATAACTAAGCTGTATTTCAGCTACAACGTGGACTAAGTACAATTAGTGGTCGGGCCTAGGAATAAACCCTGGAATAATCTGTTACATATTGCAACAACTAATTTATTAATAAACCTTTAGAATACAACCCAAATGTAAACTGAACACAGTAGGGAGTGGAAACGTCAAAATACAAAACTCTCTAGCGACCTCATTTTAGCTTCTAAATTTTGTGCCCACAAATAGCTCAGATCAAGTGCTTTTGGTGGAGAAACACAGGATGATGGAAAACTAATAAAAATAGACACTAAAAGCTTGCACTGGAGAGGTAAGGGCTTAAGCTTAGAAAAGAAATTAACTTTAGTGTTTTATAATGTGTCGTCAATGAGACAAAAATTTGCTGAAAATGTTTCCTTTTCCTTTCAAGTTTTCCAGACCGTTTTGATTTCTCAACCAAAGAACCCAGGAATTCAGTGAAACAAAGTATTCCTAGTACTTAGACCCCAGGCATGAAAACGGATTAGCAAAGAGCACTGCTATCCTACGAAAGGCCAGTTTATGGCAGACCTCAGCGAGTTTTTATTTAGGAGCATTCCCACCACTGTTTAAATGTTAACAGTGACTCACTATGGCCCTCGCTGGTTTGGCTCAGTGGATGGAGCACTGGCCACAGACTGAAGGGTCTCTGGTTTGATTGAGGTCAAGGGAACATACCTCTGTCAGGCGCTTTCAGGAGGCAACCAATCAATGTGTCTTTCTCACATCCATGTTTCTCTCTATCGCCCCCTCCCTTTCACTTTCTCTCAAAATCAATGGGAAAAAATCGGGTGAGGATTAACAACAACAAAAAAAGAGTGACTCACTCCGACTTAACTGTTTGTGCAAACAATGTGTTTTATACTGAACATCTGCTTTCCTTCTGGGAGTCTCGGATTTTTTATTATTTTTTGGTTAATCCTAACCCGAGGATATTTTCCACTGTTTTTTCAGAGAGTGAAAGGGAGGAGAAACACATCAATTGGGTGCCTCCCGAACTTGCCCCAACCCGGGCTGGAATCGAGGTACAAGCCCCTGATGGGAATCGAACCTGAGACCCTTCAGTCCACAGGGTGGACGCTCTATCTACTGAGCCAACCCAGCTAGGGTGGGAGTCTGGGAGTTTGGTACATATTGCAACAACTAAGCTTCCAGGCAAAGGATGCTTAGGTGACTAGCCCCCAATTAACAAAAAAACCTGGGCTCTAATGAGCTTCCCTGGTTGGCAATTGCGTAGCTGCCACAACTAGTTGCTGGAACATTACGCACTTGGTCCCCTTTTGCTATATTCAATCAGCTGGGCTTCTTAGCAAGTCATTGAACCCAGGGATGCCCTGACACTCTGCTCATATTTAATCTTTAAAAACAGATTGGCTCAGAAGGTTTGTATCATTAAAAGTACCCTAAGATGAAAAAGTAGTTTCACATTCAGCCACACATCTCTTAGCCCTCACGATCGGTTAGCTTATAATGTAAGGATGTCAGGAGCAGGAAGACGTAATTGAAAGGCTTTTCTTTAAGCACAATATATGAACACAGTTATATAAGCACATTCCTCAGGAAGTGTGCTCAGACAAAGTGTGCAGAATACTAACGCCAAAAATATAAACACTTAACGCATTTTTTCCATCTACAATCACTAACAAACACTAGCACTGCATAACAAACGCCTTTGTTAGAATATACATTTCACTATTTATACTGCCAAAAGTTACATCACGTATTGTTTCTGTGTTCACAATGAAATGATTTGAGGCTCAGTTCATTGGTACCTAGCTTAGAAGTTACTGGGAAAATATACCATTTCCCTGATTCTCACACTATCCATATTGTAAAATAACAATTCTTTTTAACAGCTTTTGAGAAGTGGACAGATGACATTCCACACCACACTGAATGTACCAAAAACTGCAAGATGCATCACCATTTCAGAAATAGCTAAAAAAGACATATCTTAGGATCTAAGAAATATGATAATTAAACAACAGAATGCTTTGTACAGAGGAGTACAGCCCACACAGCCTGCCTATAAACCTCACGGACCACCCAAGCAGAAGTGAGAATAAATATTTGTATAAAGCTTGGGGGGGGGGGGGCAAGCTTTTAAAAAACAATTTATACAAATTCTAAACCATTCTTTTGTACACCTAAAATAACATAATGTTCTATGGCAATTATATTTCAATTAAAAAAAGTAAAAAGGCAATTATACAGTTTGAATTGACTATAATCATTGCAATGTAAAATTATTAAATCAAAAGAAACATTCACAATTCACATTTTACTGCCAACAGATTTTAATTTAAAAAAAAAAACAACACACCAACTAATCTAAACAACTCTGAAGGATTAAAACTCTACAAGAAAATCAATACCCATTCTAGGGCCAACAGACATAAACAGAGCCTTCCTATTGTTACTAGTAAGTGTCCTAACCTTGTCTACGGGAAATTACTGACAAGAAGCCATCAAGCAGCTTCTTTTTATTTAAAAAAAATTTTTTTTATTGATTTCAGAGAGGAAGAGAGAAGAGAAACATGAATGAGGAGAGAGAATCGTTGATCAGCTGCCTCCTAGGCATGTGCCCTGACTGGAATCAAACCCTGACCTCCCCGGTTCACCTCACCGTGGGCGTCTTTATCATCCCCGCGCTCAACCCCTGGGCCACGCCCGCCCGCCCATAGCACGGCCTCCGGAGGGCAGGGCGCAACCTGCACACACCCAGAACCTAGCAGAGGCACCCCCGAGGTCCCAAGAAATGTCTGCTGAATGCATTTGCTCCCCGTTTTCCTCTTTTGTATGTAACTGTAGAGAAATATCTCAAAGCTTTGCAGAAAACAAAGTTGGGGGAGCCCAGACGGTGTGCGCAGTGGGGATTGTTCTGATGGCTGCTGGCCCGGGGTGTTCAGCAGTGTGGCCGGCGCTGAAAGGCGCTGGGTGCCCGCGGGTGTCCGTGCGCTCCAGAGCGCATCCCACCGCGCGGCGGGGTCAGGAGCCTCGTTCACACACACACCTCCGGGCCGCATCCAGCCTGGCAGCCGGGCGGGGACCTGCGCTGAGACAGGAAGTTCCCTGCGTGCACTTCAGATCCGCCAGCGGAGAGGATGGTGGTCCGGCAGCTCAAGTAAACGCGCACCACGCCCGACAGAGCCGCTGGGCGCCTGCAACAGCCGCCGAGGCCCGCGGAAGTGCCTGTCGGTCCGAGAGGGAAGCCGGGCCCCTGCTGACCGAGCGCCGCGACGGGCAGGTGCTGGTTGTTAGGTGGTGTCGTGGCTGTCTGTCCAGCTCACGGACTGCCCCTCGCTAACGTGCTTTAGTGATCGTGACGTTGCAAAGCAGGAGGCCAGCGAGGCAAAAGCCATCCCGGCGACGGTGGGAGAAACCGGCTCCCCCGCCGCAACCCGAGCCCCGAAACCAAAGGCCGCCCGGGCTCAGCGAATGCGCGGTGCTTAGGCCCCCGCCTCCCGGGGCTACGGTCCCGACGGGGCGCAGCCGGTCTCTAACCTGTTGGACAGCCCCTTGCGGGGTAGCTGCGCTGGGCACATGCGGTGACAAGTGGACTGTTGGGAGGGGAGGCTGCAAAGCTAAAGTCGGGGTGGGACGACAGAGACGCCCCAGCGCGCGCTTCCTCCGGCAAAGCCGGCTCTCGGCCCTGAGGCGGGCTCAGCCACG